ATCAGCCGGTGGTGCGTCGCCACAGCGTCAGGCATGATCTCGGGGCACGCAGCCCACAGCGCAGTGCTGCTCTCGATGTCAGTGAACACAAGCGTCACGGGGTCTGTGGTCTCCTTCGGGGCGTTGTTGTTGTCACGGGCGTCTCTCTGGCGGCACAAAAGGCCCACGATTATTGCAGCCAACAGTACACCCGTGGCAGAGCCAACGATGATAGCGATGAATTGGTCACTTAAAAACCTCTCCTCAGGGAATCCCGTGTACTCCATCGACGGCGTCACAGCGGGGAACAGCTCAGGCACTGAGGGGTCCACCACACGGGCCATCGACCACACAGAAATGTGCCTCGCACCATAGTTCACAGCACACTCGTTCCCGTTCACATTCTTCGGACTGCCGCACCTCTTGCCGTCCTTGAAGGGTCCGTACACAATATCGCCCACAACGACGACAACATTCTTGTAGAAGAAATCAATCACGGCGTCAGCGTTCACCAGATCCATCCGAGAGAGAACTGTTTTCAAAAGCAGTGTACTGGCAAACGCCCTCAGCGTCAAGGGCGTCCATTCTCTCTTGTCCTTCACAGCAGCGTGGAACCGCTGCACCGTCTCAGACGTCGTGCTCTCGTCTGCCCAGTGCGGCAGGCTCGTCGCGAACGCAAGGCGCCCAGCAGCAGCCGCACTCCCATTGAACGCAGCAACAAACTCATCGTAGAACAACGAGACTTCCGACCACAGTACAAACACACGCACACTGCTGTGCTTCGCCAGGTGCACCGCGATCACAGAGATATCAGCAGCAGCAAGGCCCACAACGAATACATCGCCATCGTGTGGCAGGTAGTCCCCCAGCGCGTCACCACCAGCCAGCAGCGCAGAGGACCACAGCGACCCACCAAACGTCACAAGTGAACGCCGCAACACATTCACCACTGCAGCAGCCTCACCGCTGCGGATCACAGCGTGAGTGTTGGCGCTGGTCGTGTTGGCGCTGGTCGTGTTGCCGAGGTACTGCGCAAGCACAAAGAACTCCTGCTCCAGCGTTGTTGAAAGTCGGATAACGCGTCGGCGAAACTTGTTCAGATGTGGATGAAGATTCTGTGGGTCGATGAATACCACCGTTTCGTCATCGAGCATCTCCTCTGTCATCACACCACATACGGCATGGGTGCGCTTTCTCTCCTCCTCATCCCTCAGTGTTGTCTTTGCATCAGCTGTAGAGGTATTTATTATCTGAAGAACAGCAATCCGTGTATTCATGGCGTTCGACCAACCCTGCAGCGCAGCACTTGCACCTGCTCTCATGCCGAGCGTTGCCCTCATCGCATAGGTATCGTCAGTCATCAGGAAAAAAATCCCATTCAATGGTGGGTACAGGCGAATGTCTCCTGTGTAGCACTTTAAGAAAGGAAGCGTCAGTTCCCCGCTCATTATCTTCTCAGCGCGGTACCCCTCCACAAACCGCTTCATGTAGACCGTCCGCCCACCCTGATTGCAGCGGCAGATAGCACCCTCTTCTGCAGCAGTGGCACTGCAATCACCACCGTAGTCGCCAATCACAAGATCATCGATCAAATACCGGCGTTGGCTGAGAATCGAACGTCTGAAAGACCCCCTCTCCCTCGCCCACCTGTGGCTGTTCAGCGCCTTCCACAGCACCTCACCGTCAATCCAACCAGCAACCATCATTTCACCGTCGTTGTCGTTCTCCAGAAAGTGCTTGGTGCTGTTGTACACCTTATTCTCTTCGCTCGCCAGGTATCTCTCCATCACAGTCTGAAAGCGTTTGATTGCCTCGTACTGCGTGTCCTTCGCAAGTGGGTTCGTACCTGTCGTGATGACTTGACCGGGAATAAAGGGAGCGCCACCATTCACAGCTTCGCGCCACGTCTCAAGCAAACCGTCCTGTAACGTTCCAGGGAGAAGTAGGCATGCACCAGCTGTACGCTCATCCGTCAGCATCCGCGTAACGAACTTCGCAGTGTCCTTCAGAGGTGCACCGAACACAATCACAGCCTGCGGGCGTGTCGCCGCGAACTCCTCCCACGTGGCATTGAACACACCATCGTCGGTAGATTTTGTCAGAGAGCTCTTGAGAGTAAAAACACCACAGAGCTCATAATCCATGTCATTCAAAAGATCTAAGGTGCGCGTGTACTCATAATCCCCAAACGACACGTTCTGCAGGTACATGAATCCCAACCGCCACATCCTAAGCTCGTTAACGGCGTAGTGGATGAGGGCCAGCAGCTCAGCAGCGGGGTCAGTGCGCACAAAGTAGAGGTGAGGATTCCAGTTCCGTACGATGCTAGATCCAGTAAGCGGAGCAAATGATACCAGGTCGTGTTCTTTAAGCGCAGCGAGTGAGTGGTATAAAGGCTCATCGCCGACGGGTCCCTGCAGAAGAAGAATGTCCTTGTGTTCCTTCATTGCTTCTTTAATTGCATCAGCACCGCCATGAACCTCCATTTCCTTCACAATCCTTTCCACACGGAAGCCATCCGCCAGTGTATAGTTACGTGACCACAGTGACGCATTGAATCCAGCATTCATGGCGTTATAGAGAGCCGGGGACAATGACATAGAGGGGACTCGAAGTTCCAGAATCTTCACTCGCTCCTGTGCCCGGCCTTCCTCCGACATCACGCCGTCCACACCGTAGCACAGCAAAACTACACAGGCTATTGCCGCACGCACCACCGAGAGTGTATTCACACCGCCTGTCCATCGTGTGCCCCCGTCGCACTTCCCCCAACGACGTATTTCACGCGTGGGTACGGCTGCCAATTTCGGCACCGCATCCAGCCTGTCGGATCTCATAGGTACACAAATAATGCCTTTCTAGCATAAACAGATCAGGGAAACAACAAGAGGACACGCTGTACAACGATATCAGACCAAATACACACCTCCGTCATCACAGCCGTCTCGCCTCCAGCCGCGGGACAAGTCGAAGGAGAGTCACAGGAGGATACACACATTTACGTTCCCAGACAGTCTTGCCGCCCAGCTGGCAGCCCCACACCCAGGTGGCACCGCGTGCGTCGTGAGCCGCTCCTCCGCCAGGATGAAGCACAGCCCCGTGTCTTTTCGCACGCCCACTGCGTTGGTCAGCACACTCGTGCGGCCCGACGTCACGGACTCCACCAACGCGAAGCCCATCACAGCGCCTCGACGCACACGCGACTCGAACACAGCGAACGGAATGCGCCGCAGCGTGCCGTCTGGCAGTTCCTCCAGCTCCGTCGCAGCGCTCAGCGCCAATATGCGGCCGGTCAGGTCGACGTCCTGGGGGAGCACATACTCCAGCGGCACACCGCACTAACTCGTCGACGGTGTTTCCAGCGGCCCGGAGTCACAGTTTGTCATCGGCATAGAAGTCGCCAGGGATCCCGCCTCGCGCCGCCCGACCACCACGAGACGGACGAGGGGCACATCCACCGTGAGCAGTGTCGACCTTGCAGAAGAGGTGCGAGTGCCGAAGAAGCACTAAAGCCAGCACTGACGCTTGCAGAAGACGTCGTCGATCGGCACAGTCCGCCCTGTCGAATCCAGCAGGAAGAGGTGCACAGTCAGTCTGTTGGGGCAAACAACAGCAGACGGCGCAGCACCCGCAACATATAACGCAGCCACGAGCTTCTGCTGCAGCCATTGCGCCACTCGCAACAAGCACATAGCCAATATCCGTCTCCGTGGGGGTGCCGACCAGGGTGTCGAGCGGGTTCGTGCGCCTGCAATCCTCCTGTCAGGCTTCCGAGTGCCCCTACACCCACGCCGCCTCAACAAGCCAGCTAGATATCGCCAAGTAGTCAACAAGCAATCCACCAACGCAGACACAATCACCGCACGCCATGCATCCCGGGCCCACCTGCAGCAGCTGCCGCACCACGTGCATGAAGAGGGAAGGGCCCCCGTGGTTCACCACGCCCTGGCACGCGTGCAGGGCCGATGCAAAGCACATCTCCTCGTCGACATCCATCACGAGCTGCACGGCGTAAAGGGGCACTAAGCCAGGATGGCCGAAGCGAGCCAGTGCCGTTTCCTCTTCCCGATTCAGCTCTGCATCATTGCGTGTAGGGTTCCAATAGCCAGTGATGTTGGAGAGGTGAGTGGGTGGCATGGGTTGTTGAATGTGTAAGTGGTGTTTCACCAACGCGACAACATCCGGTACACACGGGTCCTCGCGCTGTGGAAGAGCAGAGGCCGTCTTGGCTTCTTTATCGCACGCCTCATTCGTGGCAACGCTACAATGGCCAAATATAGATTGCAACAGTGGGCTTGCTGTTCAGCCTTGTATGTTCAATAGCAAATTCCATGGTGCACGCAAGATTCGGCCTGTTACTGTCAGGGGTCCTGTTTGGAGCGCCATGAGGAGTGGCAGGGAGTCCGTGAAGACGGAGACGCTGTATGGGCGAGCATTGCGTCGTGGGATGATGCACAGCACTTTCTGCATGCCAATAAATAGCGCAACAGATTCAGCGCGGTGGCAGGCACCCCATTGTCCCACCACTCCCTTTGGTTTGGGTGATGAGACCCCCGTTGAGGTAAATCATGGCTGCTGCGCCAGCCTTCACGCCCAACTCCAAAGAGTCATCCGTCCATAGTTCGCGGTGCAGGCGCTCGGGTGGTGTAGAACCTTCCCGGCGGAAGTGTCGGGCAATCCATCCGTCGCACATCTGAAGCTTGAGTTTGTCTACATCATCTGCTGCAATGTCTTCGGGCGATGTATGAAACAGGGCCCAGAATGCCCGTCGCAGCGTGAAGGGTGTTAGGGGCGGGGGCTCTTGCTTCGACACAGAGATGCGGGCACTGCGCCACCACGGTGGTATACACTTGTCGTGCGGGGTGTCCAGTCAAGTATACAACTTTAGCGGTAGCACGCACTGCTCACCCTCGTGCTTCGCACAAGGGGATGTATTGGAGGCTACGTGACAGTAGCATCGTACTTGGTGGATGCGGGTTGGCCTCAAGCAAGGCATCCTCCGTGTGGCTGCCTTTTGCGATGCCGGCAATTGTGCTACAGGCTTTGTACGGTCCAGCAGCAAGAATTGATCGCGGGACTGGGGATGCGCCCCAGTACCATACTTCGACGTCACACAGAGGTTCGGCCTGCACAACCGCCAAGTAGAAGGAACGCAGTTTGTCTCGCTTTGGTCCCTAGCCGCAGGATGCGACGGCCGCCAGCTGCATGAGCAGTTGGTTGGCCGGCTTCTGTAGGTGCGCCACATGGGAGCCCATTCCGCGGTAATTCTGGAACACGATTCCCAGCGGCGTTGGAAGCCGTTCCATGGTGGCAGGTGCATCATTGTAGGAGAGAGAGCAGGGGGTTCGCAGCTTTCGCCCCGAAGAAAGTCGACCTCGTTTTGGTTGCGTTGGCCTCCATGAAGTATTGCTTCGCCCAGGATGTCCCCGCGTGGAGTCCCTGATGCGGCGTGGCATTCAGAGTCTCTCGATCGCTATGGCGGGCAACCAGGGTGAGGGCATCCGCAAAGAGGCCGCGCCGTAACAGCGGGACCTCAGCCAATCGGATGCTGAGAGAGATCATGACAATGATGAACACGAGTGGCCCTAGTGCCGTGCCCTGCGGGACTCCTCGCGTGAAGGTCAAAGGAGAGGAGTGCCACCATCCCTACACTATGGGCGAGAGGGGAGGGAGAGACAGCAGCGTACAGAAGCACAACGCGAAGACCACGATACAGAAAGGAGCAACACGCACAGTTCGCCAGTCAGGCCCTACTACTTCAAGTGATCCCACGCACTACAAAATAAACGAGCCCAGCGCCTCCATGCACCGTCCTCGTATACATAAATATGCAACATTTTAAATCTCTTCGGATAAAGAATTTTTGGTGTGCTCGAATTGGCATTGTGCACAATTGCGTGCATGTTTCATTATTGGTCGTCTTTCGTAGAATCAATAAGAACTCCAGCTGTTATCTTTTAGTAGAACCAATCAATTTTAGAGATCGTATCACAATCTCGCCTCTCCCCACGAAGCACGTTCCACATTAATTAGGATGAGAACACAAAACAAAGAGGATCAGAACGCGAGCCGATGCGGCATCGCGCAGTGCATTCAGAAGTGCAGCATCGCTTGCTAAATTCTTCCGGGCCACCATTTCATCATATAGGTGTGGTGTGGATTCGGTTGAAACCAAAATAGCTCCGCACCGGTATGAGAGAAACGCAGTCAGCCTCGGAATGAATGCACTTTGAGAACCTTTCAGTACGTATTCACAGCTCCTCCATGATGCCGTTTAATAAATTTTGGCACAATAACCATCAGAGAAAAGCGCACAAAATAGGCCTAACCGATTTCGTGCTATATCACTTAGTGGTGTGTCTCGTCTTTTGTGGCGTAGAAAGGCTTGGAAAGCTTCTACTTGGTTGCATCATTGCAAGTATAAATTATGGGCACAGAAATGTCCCTTGTTGTTTCGCCTTTATACAGACCGGACAGAAATCATAGTTTACATCCGCAGTCTACATTATATTTCCTTCTCTGGGAAGGAGGGCCTGTAGGTGAGCCAACACAACCATGGTGCTTAGAGTGTTTCGGAGTGAGTTAGTAAGCTATTTTTTTTTTGAGTTATCAACAGCAAATCTGTCTTGCGAAATGATGCCCACCAGCCTCTTTGCCGGCCCATAATAAACAATACGCGATAGTAACCAACCTCTACGCCTACACTGGCCAAGGCGAAAGAAAGAGGTACGGCAACACCGCTGTTCCTCCAATCAACAGGAGGAAAGAGAGTCGTGTCAGTCTAGCTATTCACGGCAGTGGCCACATCATCCAAATCAGTCCCCAGCGCCCTCAACGGAACCCAATTCCGGACTTATCCCAAAGCCGTGGCCAAACAAGGCTCCTCCCTGATCTTCCCCAGAGGAGGATAGCCGATGCAAAAGAGAAGGCAGACTCCCTGTACAATTTGACGACGTAAACGAATGACTCTCATGAGTCAATCCAATACGCTGCATCACCTTCTCAATTTTCAGCGAGAGACGCAGTAGCAGCAGACGGCAGTATTCGTCATCAGACACAGAGGAGGCCCTCGGCGGCAGACGAACACTCCAGCGCTCGCAGTACGGTCTCAACACAATCAAACGCTGCGGCGGGGTGAAGGCACCAAACACAGTCACCAGCACATGGCTGCTGAACGATGCAGGGCCACTCAAGCCACTTACACTGGAATCAAGCTCGCTGCTCGACGCATAATCTTCCTCCTCGTCAAGGTCCTGACGGTCAAGCCGCAGTGCGGCGAAGGTGCGCCCGGGCACAGCGTTCAGCTGGTACATC